CTGTTTTCTGTTACTTCAGAAGATCGGCCGCTGATAAAACTGTCACGGTCATCTTCAGAGGTTACCAATGGAGGTAACTGTAGGTCAAAACTATCAACCCCCATAGTGAAAAAGTCATTGTGCAGTGATGTGGCTCCATCTTCATCAGTGTTGATATCATACTCAGCATAAGTGTTAGTACTTGTTTCTGAAGATTCTGTGTGTTTCTAGAAAAGACAAAATGTTTAACACTTCTGTATTTACTTAAATTCTATCTTTAATAAATTATCAAATTACAATTCATTAAACTGTCAAGTCTCCATGCCAATATTTAATTTCAATAATTCAGATATAAAAATAACAAAGTTATTTTTTTGTTTTTAACCCATCGCAGAAGCATGATTTCTATCCGTTTTTTTCAGACATTGAAACAAAGAAATTAAACTAAAAGATAAGTTTCAAAGTCTGATCAACTCCACAAAAGAAAATTATGAATCATTTATATAATAAATATTTCATTTTTCTTCCGGTGGGGATTGGTTAACAATTTTGTTGTTTTTACTGCAGTGTCTTCACTGCATCAGTATATGGATATATTAACAGTGTCTTCTTCACCGCAACACAGCTGATTAAATCCCCAGCCATTAAACTACAGAAAAGTCAGATGGAAAAAAGTGGCAATGTAACTTTTAACAAGACAATCTTTTAGCATTTTTTTTTTAAATTATTTCACCCCAAGCTAGTCAATAAAGCCACTAAGATGCAAGGGGTTACTGAGAATAAAAGACAATAGAATGAAGGCATCTGAGAAAAGATTACTGAGTAGAAAGGATAATAAAAACAACAGGATTCAAGGAGACAGAAGATGACAATTGATGTTGTATTTAAACTTTTGAAGATCATAGTTGAGAGGAAAGCAAGAGAAAAACAGAAAACATTACTGAGTAGAAAGGACAATAAAAAGAAAAGGATTCAAAGAGACAGAAAATGATAAATGACCTTACATTTAAATTTTTGAAAACTGTAGTTGAAAAGAAAGCAAGAAGCTGAAAAAGAGTTCCACAGGCAAGAAATTTGAAAAAAGAACTAACAGAATAAAAATTACAATTACACCAAGCAATTTCCATTGTAAAGTAATGAGGTCTAACTGCCAATCTAGTATTATGCTTAAATTCCTGAAGTTGAGGTACCAAATAGTAAAGATCATCAAAATAATTCAGCATGAAAATATTTATACAAAAGACACAGGCAAACTACATTATGGTGGTAGGAAAGTGATTGAAGCTGAGATGACATATTCAGACCAATAATCTTGCAAATTCATATTTGGCAGAAACACCTGACCTGATGTGGCAACAATATTCAATGAACAGGTTAATGGTAGATGTATAAAGGTGCAAGACAGATTCAGGTGAGAAAAATTGTCTAGAATCACACAGTGAACCACAAGTGAATCAAGCAGCACACTTTACTATTGACTCAATATAATGATTCCAATTCATATCAACAGAAAATATTAGATCAGGGGTTCTTAACCAGGGATATCCACACCCCCCTGAGGGTATAGGGAACCAAATGCTGGGGGTATGGGACTCAATTTCTGGGTACTGTTAGTCCCCCCTCCCCCGGTGATGTGTTTGTCTTTCTTTTTTTTTTTTATTTTAGCTTTATTAGTAAATGTACCACAATTCCATGCTTTGATTGCACAAAAACAACAGCAAATATCTCCCTAGATTAGTAAAAGTCTGTTTTATTGTAGTCAAGATACTAATAAAAAAAACTTGCACATTTATGTTCTCTTCCTTTTTCTTGTGTAATAAAACTGAATTATAACTTTATTTTACTTTCAGTAAAAAAAAAATGTAATAATGTTATAAATGCTTATGTTTTTTTTCATGTTCTGTTCCTAGCAATCCATATCTAAAGTACAATAAATTCAAGCGATTGAAATATTTGGAAGACATACTGGCAAATAATAAGATTGGTGATAATTATTTCGACAGTCAAGTGAAGGGGGTATGGGACCATAATGGACAATGCATTGGGGGTCTGGAATCATCAAAAGGTTAAGAACCCCTGCATTAGATAAAGAAGATACAATGAGTTAGTCTCGTGGAGGTTCGCATCAGTTATGCTGACAGAAGGCGTAATAAGAAAAGCATATTAGCTTAGTAATTATCAACAATGTATGCGTATTATATTTGTACACACATATAAGGACTATGTTTTGGGTAAGAGAGTTGTATATTTCCCAGTGGCAATAGTTGCTAGCATTCAAGAATCTGAATGCTGATTTTCCAAAGCAGGTTATTGTCACTTGAAAGACTCTAATGCAACAACTTTCTAAACAGTACTTCTGCTCCAAATTTAACCTTGTTTAATATGAAACAAATTAAATATCATCACAGTCACAAACCACACAAAAGATGTATAATCATGAGGAAAAACAAATCACAAAATGCTATTGACAGACTGAATAAACAAGTTTAGACACCTGCTTTTAGATTTTTTCTTTGATCTATTTAAAAGAAATTTTATGATTGATCACCATTTTTTTTTTTTTTTATTAGTGGGACATACAGGGTGATCAAAAAATAATATCCCATCTAACTATAATTTTCAGAAGACAGGAGAAACCATCATATATAAAATAGGGAATTACTTTTCAATAATCATGCAGAATTTTTTTTTTTTTAAAAACATTTTTATATTGTTATTCTATCTTCAAGGGATTTATTCACCACTGACTGAACAAGAGTCAGCCATACCAACTGAGATTTTTTTTTCTAGATGATTGATGCATAACACTGACTATGGTGGAAACAAATTATCTAAATGTGTATGTTTTTAAGAACACAATCTCTAACGATTTTTGTCAATTGATCTTATCTGTTTAGGAAACATCTTAGTATAAAAAAATGATATACAATTAAATGAACTAAGTCTGACAATTATCATATATATATATATAATATATATATATATATATATATATATATATATATATATATATATATATATATATATATATATATATATATATATATATATATATATATTAATATATATATATATATATATATATATATATATATATATATATATATATATATATATATATATATATATATATATATATAATATATATATATATATATATATATATATATATAATATATATATATATATATATATATATATAATATATATATATATATATATATATATATATATATATATATATATATATATATATATATATAATAACTATATATATATATATATATATATATATATATATATATATATATATAATAACCATATATATATATATATATATATATAACTATATATATATATATATATATATAACAACTATATATATATATATATATATATGTAACCATATATATATATATATATATAATATATATATATATATATATATAATATATATATATATATATATATATATATAATAACCATATATATATATATATATATATATATATATATATATATATATATATAACCATATATATATATATATATATATATATATATATATATATATATATATAATAACTATATATATATATATATATATATATATATAATAACATATATATATATATATATATATATAATAACCATATATATATATATATATATATATATATATATATATATATATATATATATATATATATATATATATATATATATATATATATATATATATAATATATATATATATATATATATAATAACCATATATATATATATATAATAACCATATATATATATATATAACCATATATATATATATACCATATATATATATATATATATATATATATATATATATATATATATATATATATATATATATATATATATATATATATATATATATATATATAATAAAATATATATATAATAACCATATATATATATTATAATTTTATCATATAGACAAAAACAGTTTACTCACTACAAAGATGCAAATTTGTTTCGGTGCATTTCAATTGCACCACGACAGGTGAGAACCAAAAGTAGTTATGAACAATTCTGGGTGAAACATTACTTCCTTTTTTCCATTTGTTTGAGAAAAATATATATACATAAAGCAAAAAGTGACGGAGTGAAATGATAGTGCTTGTTGATAGCAGTTTTGTGAAGGATGGGTGAGGTGTTCAATGATGGCCAGTCTGGAAAGATTCCTTGTTGATAACAGTGGTCAAACGTTTAGGCACAGCATTTTCCAGCCTCATAAGAGTGAGGGGTGGGGGAAGAAAGGTGGGAATAGGAGATAGTAATATGATGAAAGAGGTAGGAGGGATAAATTCTAATGGTTGTTGTAGTAGTAATTGGGAATGTTTTTTTTTTTTTTTTTGGTTATTATAAAAAAAACAAAAAAAAAACAACATCAAGCTAAAGCCGAATTGCATATATAATTTAGGTTGGAGTTACCACTACTAATTCTCTAATCAATGAAAGTATTTTGTAAATTAATTAGAAGTGGTGATTTCTTCTTAGTTTGTTGAATATATAAGTCATTAGTGTTTTTAAAAAAAAAACAGTTTTGATTTAGAAATTAAAATATAAGTGGAAAAATATATAAGAAGTATGGAATATTAATATAACTTTTACAATCTAATTTTGACTAATTGTCAGACAGTATAACTTTTAGAATAAGTATGGGTGTAAAACAATTTATCTGAAAATATTAATAGTAATATATAAGTGCAAAAAAAAAAAAAAAACATTTTAAGAATCATAATCTAAGATAAATTAGTGGAGAGGTATATAAGAGGGTCGGTAGTATATTAAAGGTGGTGAGTTATAATTTTAAATATCTAGAGTTGTGGATTTAAAAAATTAGCAAGATTGTAATGTTAGATCTTTGATATGTCTGCAAAAAATGGTGGTTCCATATCTTTGTTTCACATAGAACTTGCTTACAGCCAGAATTGTTCATTACCATTTTTTGTTCTCACGCGTCGAGGTGAAATTGAAATGCACCGGAATGAAGTTGCATCTCTGTAGTGAGTAAAATGGGTTTTGTCTGTATGATAAAATTATAATAAATAATTATTGCTCTACTATTGGTATTGAACCCTCTTTTGAATTAATGCTGTGAATGTTAGAATTTATATATTATTTTCATTCTCACTGCATCGTGTGTGTGTATATATATATATATATTTATATATAAACCTGTCAG